GTGAGAGTGTTAACTGTTTGCCCCATCCAGAGACTCTGAACTGTAATGATAAGGATCAGAATTAAACACAGATTTGTCTCTGGGATGAGACAAGCACAGACTCCGTATAAGACATCTTTGGGCATGTTACGGCAATGATCATCTGCAGAAGGCCCCACCCTGGCAGCATTCAGGATCCAGAGAAAATACGGGACAATTGTGCACATTGCCCTGCCACTGGGCTTCAGAGGCAAGGTGGTTCTGGGGGCCATTAGATATGGACAGCATCTTCCAAAGTGCTGCCAACTCTAAGACATATTCCATTCTGGTTCCCTTTCCACCTTGGATCCCTGGTGGCACAGTGGTTAAGAGCTTGGCTGCTAACCATAAAGGTTGGCAGTTTGAATCCACCAGTTGCTCCCTGGAAACCCTATGGGACAGTTCTGCTCTGTCCTCTAGGGTCACTGTGAGTCGGAATTGACTCGACGGCAATAGGTTTGGTTTTGGTTTGGTCCCTCTCCACCACCCTCTGTTGTAACAAAAAGAGTCTATTGTTGTCACAATTGGAGATGAAATTCATGTATCTTGTAAGAGCGGCCCAGTCTAATAGAATTTTCAGTGATAATGGAAATGTTCTATTGTTTTAGCTTGATATAATAGTAATATTTCAGATATGGTAAGGTGGCACACAAAGCAAGAGAGGAAGGCCAGAAACGTTTAAATATTTATTATGTCCACAGTCCTTGGCAGTTTGAATCCACCCAGAGGCACCTCAGAAGAAAGGCCTGGGGATCTACTTCCATGAGATTACAGCCATCGAAAACCCTATGGAGCGCAGTTCTACTCTGGCACACGAGGGGTCACCCTGAGTCGGAGTGGGCTCACAGCAGCTGATTTGGTATTCACAGCATGCCAGGCAGGGCCACCCGAGGAAGACGCAGGGGCAGTCACAAGGCAGAGATGAGCAGGACTGCGGGCAAGCGCTTTCTTGGGGTTTTCTCACCAAACATGACAGGGAGTGGTCAGAGCACGCGGGGAATTTATTGGTCAGTGATATTTGAAACTCACACCTTGGGGCTTGGGGGTGTTTACCTCAGCGGAAACTGAGGAAGCTTCTGTCTAGCTATAGCAGACATGAGTGGGGAAGAGTTACTTGGTGTGGATGTTAAAACATCGTATTGCAGAAACTAGAAAATATGGTTAACACATCTTTAACCTGTGCTATCCTGTACAGCAGCCACTGCCACACGTGGCTGGTAAGCTCTTGAAATGAGGCGAGTGCAGCTGAGTAACGGAATTTTAATTTAAATTAATTTATATGTAAATAGCCACATGGGGCTAGTGGCTAAGGTATTGGACGGCACGGTTAAGCCAAACCAAACCCGTTGCCGTTGAGTCAATTCCAAATCATAGCAACCCTAGGGGACAGAGTAGAACTGCCCCATAGGATTTTCAAGGAGCACCTGGTAGATTTGAACTGCCCACCTTTTGGTTAGCAGCTGTAGGTCTTAACAACCATGCCACCAGGGTTTCCGGACGGTACAGTTAGAGGCTACAAATTCCGGAGGACAAACAAGGGAAATAGCTCTCTGAGGTAAACCTTAGGCCTTTGAGACACTTAACTTGGATAAAGAGCCCCTCGCAACTGCAGAGGATATTTTTAAACATTTGCGCCTGAGCTGGTGGTTCTCTGTGCTACACTCACAATGCCTCTCGGCCAGCTAGGACAGAGACACACAGGATGCTCAGGTCTGGGTTAGCACTAGGCAAGTGAATAAATATTGCTGTGGGCTCAGTCATTTTAGTGAGGCCATGTGGGGTTTAAGTAGGTCCACTTTTCTGACCCATGGGGAAGACAGGAAAGATGTGCAATTTTAAAAAGACAGTTCAGAAAAGATGTAATTTGCCTATACATATGCACCTCCTCTTTTCAGAAGAGAGTTCAGGGGTGATAAAGTTTTGGGGAGGAGCCTGCGGATTAGAAAAAAAGAACAACAAATGTTTTCCCATAACACCATGCAATCAATTCTCTCATCCACTCGAGCGGTATAACAAATGGGTCCTTTGTCATCTCTGAGATAAGGCTTAAAATTAGCCAGGCACCGAGGGGCGTGAATCTGACACGAGCCGAGACAGTGAGATTTACCTGTGGCTGGTCTGGCTGGTAATCCAGGCGCGGAGCGAAGGGCTTCCGCAGCCTGTGATGGGCACTGGGAGGGAACTGGGTATGATCCAATGAAAGGAAGCACACCTCCAAATCCTGCATCCCACTTCAGTCCCTGACCTGTCCCTCCAGAGCAGTCCAGAAGCTGGACTCCTGCCTTCTCTAACTACTGAATGAAAATAAAACTTGGACTGGTGCAATTTGGGCAGAATATTTTGCAGATGAAAAATGGTATAAATGGTGGAGTGGTGTAATTAGAGTGATCAGAAGGATAGTATACTATAGTAGTTTAATATCCCCGGTGAACTGTTGGCCCTTTTACCTGTGTGGTGAGCTGCGCGTATAGAATTTGCCCAGTTGGAGGAGACGCTAGCGGGGACCTGCCTCCGGTGGAAATGCCAGTCGCAGGATATTAAAAAATTAACACTGAGGAAGTTCCTGAAAGCAACTGGTGGTGATAGTGCATTCTTTAACCGACACTGTTTTGGTCGGCAGGAAAAGAGGGCGTGCGTTGTGGTTTAGAGGGAACACAGGCTCGGAGGCAGACTGACCTGGCTGTAAACACCTGTTTCTCCCCTTATGCTGTGCATCAGAATACCTGGATAACTTATTAAAGAGACATCTTCCTGGGCCCTACACTGACCTAATACATCAGAATTTGGAGACTTGGGGCTCCAATGTCTCTATTTTTAAAACAAGCACCCAAGGCAATTGTGACATGGGGTTTCTTTAAGTCCTAGCTAATTGGTGACGTGTTGTTGTTGTTAGGTGCTGTTGAGTCAGTTCCAACTCGTAGCGACCCTGTGCACCACAGAACGAAACACTGCCCGGTCCTGCGCCATGCTCACAATCGTTGCTATGCTTGAGCCCATTGTTGCAGCCACGGTGTCAATCTATCTCGTTGAGGGTCTTCCTTTTTTTCGCTGACCTTGTACTTTACCAAGCATGATGTCCTTCTGCAGGGACTGATCCCTCCTGACAACATGTCCAAAGTATATAAGACCAAGTCTGGCCATCCTTGCTTCTAAGGAGCATGCTGGTTGTACTTCTTCCAAGACAGATTTGCTCGTTCTTTTGGCAGTCCATGGGATATTCAATATTCTTCGCCAACGCCACAATTCAAAGGCGGCAGTTCTTCGGTTTTCCTTATTCATTGTCCAGCTTTCGCATGCATATGATGTGACTGAAAATACCATGGCTTGGGTCAGGCGCACCTTAGTCTCTAAGGCAACATCTTTGCTTATGAACACTTTAAAGAGGTCTTTTGCAGCAGATTTGCCCAATGCAATGTGTCTTTTGATTTCTTGACTTCTGCTTCCATGGGTGTTGATCGTGGATCCAAGTAAAATGAAATCTTTGATAACTTCAGTCTTTTCTCCGTTTATCATGATGTTGCTTATTAGTCCAGTTGTGATGATTTGTGTTTTCTTTATGTTGAGGTGTAATCCATACTGAAGGCTATAGTCTTTGATCTTCATCAGGAAGCGCTTCAAGTCCTCTTCACTTTCAGCAAGCAAGGTTGTGTCATCAGAATATCGCAGGTTGTTAATAAGTCTTCCTCCAATCCTGATGCCACGTTCTTCTTCATATAGTCCAGCGTCTTGGATTATTTGCTCAGCAATTGGTGATGTAACACTCACAATACTTGAGTTTTAGCATTATTGTGTGAATTGGTGGTTTATTAGACATGATGTGATTTTAAAAAAAGAAAAAACACAATACACTCAACAAATCAGGGCTCAGTAACTTGAAGGCACCTTGGAAGAAAGGCCTAGTGATCGACTTCCAAAAAATCAAACATTGAAAACCCTGTGGAGCACAGTTCTACTCTGACACACATGACATCACCATGAGTCAAGAGGAGGCCGCTCCGTGGCAACTGATTATTGAGCCGTAGATTTACCTTATTTAAGACACTGCTCTCTCTTTTGGAAACCCGGGTGGCATAGTGGTTAAGTACTAAGGCTGCTAAGCAAAATATCGGCAGTTCAAATCCACCAGGTGCTCCTTGGAAACTCCATGGGGCAGTTGTACCCTGTCGTGTAGAGTTGCTATGAGTCGCAATCGACTCCACAGCAATGGGTATATGGGTTGGGCTCTTTCTTGGAAAATCTTGATGTCCTTTGCCTCGCTAAGCCTTTTGCAGGGGCTAAGACCACTAAGATGCCCTGGGATCAGTGGTTAAGATCTCGGCTGCTAACCAAAGGTTGGCAGTTCGAATCCACGAGCAGTTGCTTGAAGACCCTGTGGGGCAGTTCTACTCTGCCCTTTAGGGTCGCTATGAGTCAAAATGAACTCGACGGCAATGGGTTTGATTTTCTGTTTTTTTTAGACAACTAACTAAGGGGTTTTCATCCAAATCAGCTGGGATCCCAAAGTTGCAAGCTGTGTCTAAGTATTGATAAAAGTAGCCTTTTCTTTTCCTGTGTTTTGTTTTTTTTTTAAATTTTTTTTTTTTTAAGTTTTCTAGTGGGGATGAAAACATCAATTACATTGTAACAGGATGGAAGTCCATCGACGTGGGGTTGCACCCACCAGAGAACGGTCATTTGTTCTGGCCCAAGAGAGGCCCTCGCTTTCGCCCCGAGGGCTCCCAGGGCAGCTGCCTGGCAAGGTCCGTCTTGCTTTCCTTGGGCAGCGGAGGGCTTGAAGACGGGGAGAGGTAGCTGGCGCGCTGCCCTGGAGCTCAAGAGAGAGGGAAGGGAGCTGCAAAGCCAGGCGGCTGGAAATGGCTGGGGCTGAGATTTGCGGAGGGGTGGGGCTGCGAGGGGAGGCGGCACCAGGGAGTCCCCGAGAGGTGGGAGTGGAACGTCTCAGGTAGCACCGAGCCGCGCATCCCGGAAGCCCTCCTGCGGCCTGGGGACTTGGATCGGCTCGGGCGGCGAGGTTGGCGAGGTCGAGACCCTTTCGGCGCCTTCCCTAACCCGCCCCGCCTTGGCTGCTGCAGAGCAGAGACGCCGTGCGGGGCGGGGCGGGGGCATGGTGGCGCGGCGGAGGGGCGCGAGGGCTAGCGCGCGGGGGCCAGAGCAGCGCCCGGCCCAGGGCGCCCGGGGGCCGGATGGCGGAGCCCACGCGCGCGGTGAAGCTGGAGAGGCTTTCGCTCCGCTCGCCCGGCTGCAGCGAGGGCGCGCTGCCAGGCGCGAACGCCCAGAAAGCCCCCAAGAAAGCTTTTTATTTTCTGAGGATGAAGCCCCTGAAGGAGCCCGCCCCCACCACCACCACCAACGTGTCCTTTGTGATCCACTGTCAACTAGGCAAGGAGATCAAACACATTTGCAGCCCCTGCAGTCGGGGGGAGGACGCCCGGGACGGTGAGTGCCGGGGCGCGTCGGGGTGGCAGTCGCGGGCGGCAGAGGGGACTCGGCCGGTCCGGGGCTGGGGGCAACGCCGCCGTCTGCCGCCTGGAGGACTCCGGGGACATCTGCCCTTTACCCAACCGCGACACACGCCGCCCTTTGCCGAGCGCAGCCCAGAGCCAAACGCAGATCGCTTCCGTGCATATACCATTCATGTATATGCTTCCCCAGAAGAGGATGTGGAAACAGTTACAGGGGCAACTCGGATGCGGTCTTAGAGGATTTGTTTGGAGCAGCACTATTAAGCTTTAAAAAATTATTACACCTGCTTTTCCCTCATGGGCTTCTTAACTGTTCTTCCACCCGGGATAGCATCGCGTTGGCTTTGCGGGGCTGCGTTACAGATGTGGGGCTTGGGGCGGGGGTTCACTTTGGAGAGGTGGTTTGGCCTCGGCGGCGCTAAGCGCCCTGGGGACTTGTGGAGTTGTTGAATGATGCCTCTTTAGAGTAAAATATGGCCGTGAATTTTGGTGTGCCGCTGCTGGCCCCTCTTGGAATGATGCCTGGCGACCAAATGTGGGGAGGTGGGGGAGGGGACGCGCAACGGCATCTCCAGGTGAGCCGAAGAGCTCCCGCACATCAGATCTGGAGTAGGGCCGAGAAGGGATGCCGGGATGCCGGCGACTCAGGGCAGAAGAACCGGAGGAGGGACGGCTCGGCACGGACTGGGCAGCAGCCTCTGCCGAGGTGCAAGCGCCTGGCTGGCGGTGCGTTTCGCAGGAGCCCCCGGACGGCTCAGAAGCAGCTCTCAGAGCCCACTCGGGAGGGTCACTGAAGGTAGGGCAAAAGTTTTCGGCAGCAGATTTCACAGGGAAAGCATTAGCTGCTGGCCAGCCAGCAGCTCGTCTCTTCGCTGGACACTGCTACCTCCTTGGGCAGGCAGATTTTCCTATCGGCCAGGCGGGCTTGGCTGGTTCCCTTTGGAAGAACAAATATTATTTAGGGTCCGTCGGTTCTTCGCCGGCCTCTGAAGTGCGGAGTAATGAAGTGACTGTGGCTTGGCTAATGTCTTTTCAAAATTAGAGTCCTACTAGCATAATCATAGTTTTTCTTTGATTCAACTGCAAGAGAGGCTGTGCAGGGCGGCTGTGGGCGTCCAAGAGGAAAACTGGGGCTGGGCTGGGGGAAGGTGGGCTCCCAGAAGGCACTAGGGCTGCTCCCGTTTGATTGCTGGGAGGGTGTCCCTTTAGGGGGAGCACACACTTACTTACATGTGTTTGGTTCTTACCCGCGCTGTATGCGTTGAGGACACTGAGACCTTTGGAATGTGAGTGGATTACTGGGATGAGGCAAAGCCAGACCTTCCCATGGAATGTAACGTAGCCGGGATGCACGTGATGGAGATTACTGAAATGTAAATCTCTCTTCTGACTGAATTGAACACCAACGGGCTGCTTCTGCAGCCTTGGGAGTTTATTTCAGTTAATATCTTTACATGCTGCTACCGCAAGAAAAGGTATACGAGTACACTCGAGGACGCGTGTTTACATATGCAAACACACGTTTATACTGCGAACGTGTTGGTATACACTGTCATTGGACGCAGGCATGTGTTTTAACCGGCAGCACATACTTCTTGTAATGTGCATCGTGTCTCCGACCTCAAGTACTTCAGCACGTTCTAAGGGGCTCTGTATGGATGTTCACATATCAGCTGAAATGATAGAAGTTCTTAATTTCAAAGGATTCGAGTATAGGGAAGACTAGATTGAAGTGCCTCATTTTCACCTCATTCTACACTGCTACTCCTGTCTACCCAACGTGTGGTGCCCACATTGAATCACTGGAATAGAACGAGGCCAGGACTTTAACCCTTCTGTGTTTATGCCCAGAGCCCGAAGCAGCAGTGCCCACTGTACATGGAAGGAACAGACAAAATAATTTCCACTGTTTGTGAGGATTGACCTTGCATCATAGTTTTTAACATGTGGCTGTTCTGTTAGATTAGTTCTCCAGATGCTGTTTATAATTGGAGTCATGTTTTCTATATGCCAGAGAGCCAGCTGGAAGCGCGTGGTAAGGATTGTAGTAATGCCAACACATTTCCCCAGTGCCTCTATTTGGTGAGACACTCTGTAGAGGAAGGTGTTTCTTATGGTGGGGTGCCCCTGTATTGTGTCCGGCACTCCTAAGTGTGCCTGGTCCCTCATTCAGTATGGAGGAGACCATTTGGTGGCAACCAAGGAAAAGTCTGATCCATCTAGAAGGCTCTCACTTAAAATTTTACAAAGGCATTTACCACTGAGTTTTTCTTATTCTTAATTTCTTCATCTGTAAATTGGCAGTTTTCAACATATTTAAAGTATATTTTAATCACTTTATGTTTAAAGACAGCGTCTAACTGAAAGTATTTGGCTGATGTAGATAAATTTTAAAAGAAAAAATATTGCTGGCTAGTTGAGCAGCGTATAAAAGGTGAAATTACATTTTTGCAATTGTCTCTTGTGCTTAAGAGAAAAAAACAACAGTAACAGATTCCTGTTAAAGATGCTTTGCTGACCTTATTTCAAGAAATTCTATATTTTAAAAACGAAACCTGTAGAATGCAGTTCACCATCGGTGGCTAACGACTAGTTTGTATTTCCCTCATCTTTGCTGATGCCTGTTCTTCTGCCGGCTTTTAAGTGAATGGCAGATTGGAGATACTCAACAGGAAGGCAGTCACAGAATCAGGTAAAGACTCATAGCGACCGTATAGGGCAGAGTAGAACTGCCCCATAGAGTTTCCAAGGAGCGGCTGGTGGATTCAAACTGCCGACCTTTTGGTTAGGAGGTAAAGGGGCCAAAAGCAGGGGAGCAGTAACTTAACTGTGCTCACAACAGTAGATGTGACTCAACCCTGGTGTCGTTTATCCATAGAGGGAACACGAATACTAGTTTTTGTCTTAATTTTCTACGACCCCGCTCTCTTTCCAAAGCTGCTATGGTTTACTCAATATAGATACAGAAAAACTTGTACTTTAGAAATACAGTAAAAACAAAAAAAACCAAGCAAGTTATTTCCCTTTCTGTACTTGATTGATTGACTTCCTAATAAAAATAAGCGTTTCCATGTATTGAAGGCGTACTGTAGCAGACACCTAAGCTCGATGCATAGAATATTTCAATCCTCACAGCAACGTTTCTGCTAAGTGAGTGGGGTTATTCTCATTTTTCAGGCAAGGAAACAAGCTCGTATAGCACCTTGTGCCAAAGGCCGCAGAGCCAGTATAGGGAAGAACCAAGATTCAAGCTCTTGTCGGTTTCACGCTAAAACCAGCGAGCTTTCTACAGTGCCATTGAGTTGTTTTTTTTAAATGCCATTTTATCTGCCACCTACATTGAATGTCGAAAGTTAAGCCTCGTTTTTAGTGTGTGCTGTATACATGGGGGGAGCCCTGGTGGCGCAGTGGTTAAAGTGCTCGGCTGCTAACCAAAAAGTCAGCTGTTCGTACCCACCAGCCGCTCCTCAGGAGAAATATGTGGCAGTCAGCTTCCCTAAAGATTCTAGCCTTGGAAACCCTACGGGGCAGTTGCATTCTGTCCTGTAGGGCTGCTGTGAGTCAGAATCTACTTGATGGGATTGGGGTGGGTGGGTATATACGTAGAGTCTAATAAACCAGGTTTGTTAAAACAAGGAATTAGAAGGAATTAAGAATTTCCTGGTATGTTTAATTTTTTTTTAGTCACCTTACCCATTTGATGTAGAGGCTGATTTTAGTAGGAATGGAGAGAAAAATTTACACCTAAAGAGATTAGAAGTTACGTACAGTGCATAGCAACAGGAAATATAGCTAAATTATCACTAATTTATATTGGATGTCAATGGGAGAATGTGATTTAATTTACAAATAGTTAAAAATCAGCTTTTAGGGAGAAATCCATTCTAGAAAGAATGATGTTTCTGTATATAACTTCACACACATTTTCCATTTTGAATTCTTTTGAGTCTATTAATTATGAGAAATTATTTTAGGAATTATAACTCAATAATTAGGTATTAAGATGCAGTTTAAAGTAATTTTAATTGAAATAAAACTTCAGATTTCTAACAGATTTTTAGAAATACGTTGACGCCTGCCAGTCTTCTTTTGAAGTGCCACATTTAAAAAGTAATACAGTGATCAATAGATTTAGAAGGAGGATGTATCAATTGCAACTGTACTCCATTCCTTTTACCTGTGATTAATCAATATTTCAAGGTTGTCTGCATTTCACCAAATATGATTCCTGTTCTTTAAGCACTTCTTGTACAAATTTTCTAATCTGTTTGTCCTGCTAGATGGATTTCCAAGATTTGTTTTAGGGCTTAGAAGTATTTATTGTGTTTTCTAAGGAGCCCTGGTGGCTGAAAGATTGGCAATTTGAACCCACTCCAGTGGCTTCACGAGAGAAAGACCTGGCAATGTGCGTCCATAAAAATTGCAGCCTAGAAAACCTGTGGTACAGTTCTTGTCTGTCACATGTGGCCGCTGTGAGTTAAAAACTGACTCCAGGGGCACCTAACAACAACAGTGTGTTTTCTGATTGATTTCAGTATGAACTTTCAGAATGATGACAATTTGTCATAAAACTTTTCAGTGATGCTGACTCTAGGGTTCATTCAGCAAGACAGCCTGTTAGAAGAAAATGCCTTGTGAGTTTCCTCGGGTCAGATTCCTCATTTTGCAGGTGAGAAAATGGAGGTGCAGAAAGGTTAGCCAAAGTCAAACCACCATTTGGTGTCAGAGCGACCAACAGAACCTGTCCCTTGACGAGGGAAGCAGTTTTGAGGAGTGGTTCAGAGCTGGATCCTGGAATCTCACTGCCTCTTTTCAAACAGTGGCGCCTCCACTTGCTAGCTGGGTGACTTCACCCTTACCCTTTGCCGTCGAGTCGATTCTGACTCATAGCACCCTTATAGGACAGAGTAGAACTGCCCCATAGGGTTTCCAAGGAGCAGCTGGTGGATTCGAACTGCCAACCTTTTAGTTAGA